CCTCAGAAATGCATTACAAATTTCTTATCAGAAACGAATCTTGTTATAATTTCTTATAAAAGGACAGACAACAGACAAAACATGACTGACAATATGAATTTGAATGGACACTGATGATAATGACGTCACTGTCAGCTGACTAAAATGAAATGTGCATCATCCAGCTAAGTGTTTTTTTAAACGGATATTGGGATACTGTGTCTTTACTTTAATATAAGAGGTGTGCATGCAACAATAATCTGTGTCTAACCACAGTCACTCTATTGAATAACATTATATCTTGAAACACTCATTGGCTGCAAAAACTAGTGTGATCGGCAAGAGTTCCTTTTGTACCCCCCCCCCCTCCCTAACCCTAACTCTCACACCCAGTTACCCAATTCATTTGTATATGCCCCCTCTAGATAACTATAGATGTCTTTAGGAGGGGCACATACAATTAAATTGGGAGTGCTGGAGGGTAGGGGTAGGGTTAGGGATGATGGGTACTCTTTCCGTGTGATCAATAGTGAAGACTAATAGGAGGTATTTACAATAATTGTAAGAAGAAGCGTGTAATAGCATTTTAAAAGTTTGTTTTGAAAGGTATGGACCATTCGACTCAAGGAGTCAGCACGTACATTACCCGACACTTGTACTAATATTACTATCAACAATAATAATAATGATAATAATAATAGCTGTTTTATTATTCATAATAATACAAATACTATTTATACTACTATTCGTTGGCATACTTGCTGCGATATAAATATATTTTATTGTGGGAACTGTTTTTTCATGATTTCATGTGTTGACAAATCGATTTCACCACATGATCACACCACAACAAAGTTGATTTAACGCAAATGAGTGAAAATAATAAAAATATTTAATTTTTTCGAGATACGACCTACCTTTTTCCTAAGCAAGACATACTTTTTCTTTAGCGCCTCCTCCTCTTCTGTTAGAGTCGATGGAAATCCCATGAATTGCGGCTCTGAATACAGGAGCGCCAAAAACAATATGGACAAAACGCCAAAACCCGGAAGTAAAATAATAAATGTGTGTTTGTTATTTATGTACTCCAACTTATTTACTTCCGAAAAACTAGGTTTGCAGCGGCAATTTTATATATAATTGTTATAACTGGCTAAACTTGATTTAACTTATAATTTAAAAGTTTTAGTCGCAAGTATTATTGCGTATTTTTTCTATGTTTTTTGTCACCTCTCTGGAGTAAAGATATAACAGTCCACACGAACACCAGAAAGGGTTTCCCGCCTCGTTTTCGTTTCAGGGATTCCCTTTGCGCTACAATGAAACTTGTAATCAAGCAGCTTCTTGACGGCAGCTGCCGTTTAGGACAACTTACGGAACTTGGTCGCCATACGGGAAGGGTGATTGATGTACCAGGTTGTCTGATGTACACCCGGGGAGCTTCTGCGCCACATTTGACCCAAGATATGGCGAAAACAATCGACAAACTGCCATTTGGGATACAACTTACATTGCCAACACTGTGAGTAAACGGCTACTAAAATGTGACGAAGTCAAATGTTAATTTAGGGCTTGCTAGTTGTCCGACCACCCATTCAAATATATTTAAAGGACGGTGGTGCGCATGTGCGACATTTGTGTTGATAAACATTGACCCCCCCCCCCTATATGCTTTTTTCAGAGCTGAGAACCACGAAGTAATAGAGGATTACAAATTAGGCATTGGCTCATTTACAAGTCAGCAGGATTCTCTACTATTTTTATCTGTACAAGACCCAGGCACTACAATACCATCAGGATATAATGAAAAACAGTTCGTATCAATATGGACAACAGGGGGTAGGATGAGGGTAAGGGTAATATTTTCTAAAATACACCACCATAAAGACATAATACAATACTATAATGACATTCTGAAGACATGATACACCGCCATCATGACATGATACATTACTATGAAGATATAATATACCATATAATATGATAATATGATATATCACCATGTAGACATGATACACCATCATAAAAACATGATACACCATGATGATGATATGATGTACCACCATGAAGAAAAAATACACAGTCATGAAGACATGATACAACGAAATAAAAACATGATACACCATCATTAAAGCATGATACACCACCATGATGACATGATATATTACCATGGCGATATAATACACCACCCTGAAGACAAGATACACCACCATGAAGACATGAGACACTTTATGAAGACTTAATGCATCATCATGTAAACATTATAGACCATTATAAAGACATGTTAGACCACACTGAATACATGATATAATACAATGTACATGATACAGCCTGGCAGTATTAAACAAAACATTTCAATATTTCTTATACATTATTTTTTTTCACTTAGTTGTCAACAGCGACATTCACTACAATGCTGAAGAATATGAAACCAGATTGGTTTGAATGTCTATATGATGGAGATGTTGTTCCTGGAACAGCATCCAAGAAACGAATTAGGAAATCTGTTGACAGAACTTTGCAGTACCTGGATGACTGTTTAGAAGTCCAACAGAATTCACCAGTAAGTCGTGATGGTTGTCAGGAACGTACCGGGTATGTGGGGGTTTAGTGCTGCTGTAGTATTGCATTATGATATCAAGTTGTAGCCATGAAATTAAGGTTGATCAAGCGCATTCGATCAAATAAATAGAAGAAAAAAATTTATCACAATTTTTTGTTTCAAAAGTTTCACATAATTGTGGATTTGTCTTTGCATGTTTTTTTCCCATTAAGAAATAATTTTTTGAAAGGAAAACTGCCTGAAAAAAATGCTAACATTTACATTTTCTGAACAATTGTCATAGGAATCCCTGTCAAAACATTATTTAATAAAAAATAGTGTTTTTCAGAATTTTCTAATAACAACCGTAAGTCCCCATTATGATTTGTTTACCATATGTACAAGATTTTCTATATTGTAAGAACTTTTTATCATAGTAATCATTGGTAAATAGCCCCAAAATCACCATTTTCTCTTGTGCCTTGTGCAAAAAAAACTCAACCAGCAGATAAACATTGTATGAGTAAGTAAGTACAGTTGGCTGTTTATGCACAGGGACTTCATTGAATGGAAAGAAGCACCTTCCCAGCCAGTCCAATCTTTTTTTGGGGGGGGGGGGAATTTGAGCGGGACTGATTTCAAATAAAAACAGTTGTGTTTATGAATTATATGTATTCATAAAATTATGTTTATCAGTATAAACAAATCTGATTAAAATCCAATGAATAATTTTTTTTCAATTTTTATATTTTTTTATTGCTGTTTTTGTTTACATGCTGTTATTAAGTTTTTAAGCTCAAGACCAGGATATGATACTGTAAAAGGGTTAATTATTCACTGGGTTTTAATTTTGCTTATTTCGCTAACTGGAAAATGTGCTAAATTAAAACCCAGAGAATATGTAAAATTTAGTATAGAACACATTATCTATATTATCTAAACTAAACAGTGAATTTAAAACTCAGTGAAAATTAGTCATTTTACAGTATATAAAAAACTTAATAACAGCAAGTAAATCGAAAAACATATTCATAACTAAATGAAAATAACAATACAAAAATGTAAAAAAAAAGTGGAGCCTATAACTACATCAGATTGTAGTATAAACATACCTTACCTGACTAGGTGTAGTATTTTATAGTATGTAAATTTGGTGATTTACTGATGACTGAATCCATATCTTGTACTTCACTATATCAGGAATTAAAAAATATTGAAGTATTCGGTGTGATAGAAGGGGGTGACAGCCATGATGAGAGAATCAGATCAGCAAAAGAAACCGCTAAACGTCCACTCTCAGGGTTTGTTTTGGATGGTTTCCAAAGTGATGCCTTAGCAACAGATGTCAAGCAGAATTTGATGATGTCTGTTTTGGTGAGTGAATTATTTAATGCAGTACGTGATTCTATTTCATAGCATATCAGCTGTTGTATGTGTTGGCAAAAACACTAAACATTGCAGGTGAATGTCTATCAGTCATAGCTAATGACAAAAAGGCACATGTGACAATTCCATTTTGGAACTCAATGCCACAGTGTCACACAGAATCTGACAGTTACCCGGTAATTTTAACCTACTCTTGAAAAATGGGCATTAAAAGATTAACCCAGTATTGTTTAGCTCAGAGTTAAATGGCTGGTTTTGATCCAAGTTCCATGATAAACACAGAGATATATGTATGAACAAGAATTAAGCATTAAAATATGCTATCTACATGCTGTAAATGCAAATGTCATCAACTCAAATCAAAATTGACTAAAAAATTAACCAGCAAGCAAGCAGCATGGGAAGTTATATACCGTAGTGTTGCAAAAAATGAGATTGTTGATTTCAATTTCAAGTGTTTTGAACCTAATGATATAGACAAGTTCAAAACAACAAGTTTGAAACACAATAGCTGCAGGACACATTAGTGGTGTTCACGTTACACGAAGTACGGGCTAAGATTTAAGCTGATTTAGGCTTATCTAGCAAATTTGCGTTTCGGCTAGACCCAATTGCGTCCACGCACAGGGAGGGACAGTCGTTAGCACGGGCTAAGGGGCGCCGTCAGTTGGTGACCTTTGGCAAGCCGCTATTTGTGAACGAAAAATGGATGACACGCGCGAGGTTCTATTTCTGCTGCTGACATGTTTCGTTCTAATTTGAAGCGACGTGCACAGGAACGCGAGAGAAGACGGACCCAACTTATTTGGATGCATAGAAACAGTATACAACGGCGTAACAGAATACAGAGTTTTATTAATGCATGTCGTAGACAGCGAACCAAATTTATTTTGTCTATGATTGATGCTGCTGTACGCTCTACTACAGCGACCCGATCAGTGTGGAAGCGTGTACACTGAGCTCGGTTACCATTTTGGAAATGAGAAAGTTGGATATATTTGATCACGTTCATAATGTTCACACCCAAAGGTCGCTGCAGAGGGCGCTTAGCCCTGGGCTAAGCGTTCGCGCACACTTCGTTAGCCCGTGCTAAGGGTCTAGACCGCGTCTTAAATTCGGATCAGATTTACCCCGTACTTAGCGTTCCTTAGCCCGTGCTAAGCGTTCACGCACGTTTGTTTAGCACGGGCTAAGGAATTTGACCTCTTAGCCCGTGCTAAGGAGCTGTGCGTGAACGCAACTATTGATTTAGAAAGGTTTCAGTAACCATGGAAATTAAATACAATTCCATAAGCGGTCAGAACAAGCGGTCAGAGTAAACCTTGTACATTTTGTTGTAGATATTACAAGGCGATATTTATATTCCAACATTGATCAACCAAAATTAAACTGTGAAAAATAAACAATTAAAACTGTACTGCTCAATTCCCGATTCCCGAATTACTGTCAGACGCGATGTAATTCTATTTGGGCATCCGTAACCTACTTAGCAGCAGGCGAGAACGGGACAAAAATATAAAAATTCAAAAGACATCGCTAGACATCCTGGATGAAGTCAGCGGCATATTTGAACCATTTTTTTAAAGATAGCGGGGTGAGTGTGGGTGGGTACAAACAAGGACAGCTAGAAGAACTATTTAAGACAGCTTAGAAAGGTGACTGATTATTGAAATAGAGATGGTATATGTGTGTTTTGCTTAGTAAATATTACCGTGACATAGTTTTTCAACTCCCAAAATACCCACAAAAAATATGAAAATATTACACTATAGCCAAAGATAATTTGCATGCTCGCTATTCTTGCTTAGGCAAAATAGGAAGATAGCAGTTTTATTGCAGGGGAATTTCTACATGGGGAGTTGGAAACATTGATGTTTGGTGCACTGTGACTTGCGCGTTTGGAACATTCAAAATCTGTCCTACCTCCCGGTTTGTTTGGTTTGATCCCAGGTCACGCGATATGAAACCAACACAATAAATATTGCTTGCTGAAATCCATAATGAATAGAAAGAAGCAGCCTATCGGCTGAGATAGCTCCGCTGTTAGCAATACACATTTCAATTAAAGAACTGGAGATATCATTAAAAAATAAACAATATGTATAGTATCAAAGCAACCGGTTTTCAACAAGAAGGCAAAAATATCACTTTTTACCATAAATTACAAAAATATTCATCAGAATTAGAGAATTGAAGATATCATCATGAAATGAACAAATCTGAGAGAGGTCCACATGTATTACCTATATAAGTAATATCAAAGCAATTGGACTTGTGGTTTTTAACAAGAAGTCAAAAATATCACTTTTTACCAAAAATGACAAAAATATTCACCAAAATTAGATAATTAAAGATATCATTACAAAATGGACAAATCTGAGAGAGGTCCACATGTAGTACCTATATATATAATATCAAAGCAATTTGACTTGCGGTTTTTAACAAGAAGTCGAAAATATCACTTTTTACAAAAAATGACAAAAATATTCACCAAAAATAGAGAATTGAAGATATCATCATGAAATGAACAAATCTAAGAGAAAGGTACATATACACTAAGTATCAAAGCATTCAGGTTTGTAGTTTTCAAGAAGAAGTCGAAAAAGTAAAATATTGACATGACAATGTCGACAGTGGAGTTAAAAACAGTGTCAGCAGACAATCTGTTAATCTATCTGATTATTATATTTCATATTGAATCAGCTTTCACTCCACTGCTGGCTGATTGTTAGTGTTACTGTTGTCAAAACCACACTAAGGCTAAACTTAAATGCAATTCCACAAATGTATTTGGTTCATAATAAACTACCGGTATAGTAAACCCACAGTTTTGCTGCATGTCCCTGGTTTGCATGAGAGCAAGCTCATAACAGTTTTACTATGTTAATTTCAGAAAGAGTTACCCGAAGATAAACCCCGGCTGATTCACGGATGTGGTAGACCAGATCAAGTCATGCAGGCTGTGGAGTTAGGAATTGACGTCTTTGATTCTGCGTATCCTCTCTATGTTAACCAGCCACTAGTCATTTCAAAGTATATTTTTCATTGGTGGTGTTATTATCTTTATTGTCTTTTTTTTTCAATCTGGTCTCAGTCTTTTATGCAGAAATGCATTGTTTGAAAAAAAAAAGTATTAATATTAAACAGTAAAACAGGGAATGAATGAGAAAAATATCAAGGACCTGACTTCGACAGACTGACAAGTTCACTTCACATTATGGATGTTGTGGGTTTGATCCTGCAAGTCAAATATTCTCCCAACCATATAAACCAGATTAAAGCATGTCTAGATCACTGGACAAATGAGAATATGTTTCAAAGACAATCTGTTTCTGTCATTAGTGTCGGCCTATTATATATAAGCCTTGAATTGCTCTACTTGAGTAGCGCATTGTAAGAACGAGTTAGGCTAGATCTAAAAAAATAACTTGCTTTGCGGAATTCAGCTTGTACAATTCCCGAAATATTTGTGGGATAAGGTTCTGATCAAATTGGTCGTTGGTGGCGCTATTGCATGATACGGAAATACAAGGTCTAAAGTTTATGTTTGGATACATTTTCCTATCTGGTTTTATTCTCTGCTTTTTAAGAATTTATATTTGTCCCATCAGACATAGAGTAATTTAGAAGCAAAAAACAAAAAAAACTTTTCTTCAATTTTGCTTGCAGTACAAATTATTGCGGGGGGGGGGGGGTAGTGTAAAGATAGGTTAATTAATAATATAAATAAACTCATTTAACAAATGTCGAAATAAACACCATTTTACATTTTTTCTTTAATATCCATGTTCAGATTTCCATACTCGGTAACTGAGAGCGGATGTGCATTAGTCTTTCCTTTCAGCTACAATCATCAAAGTAATGTTGACAGTGCTGTTTTAGAGCAATCCACGGACCAAGAAAAATCTAATTATGTAAACGACAATAAAGCTGGCATATCAAGATATGAAATCAATCTGACAAATGAAAGGTAAACCAATCTAGTCTATTGAGGGCGCTGTGTATTAGTGAAGACCAATCGATCTCTGGCTTACAAGAATTGTAGTTTGAGGGCAGTAGACATTAGTTATAATTCAGTTCATTTTCATTTCAACATTGATCGACCAAGGTTAAAGCGCGACAGTCGTCACGTTCGAATTTCATGTAAATAAACAATGTATTTTACACATGTTGTATACGTCGCTATGAGTCCCATATCGAACAGGACGCGGCACGGCGACTGACGCCCTTTAAGCTGAAATTGGAGAATTATTATAACTGTGAAAAAGGACCAAATTATAATGTATTACTCAATTGTGAGGTAAAAATGAAGACATATCCGATTTAATATTTCACACAAGTATATTTGGGGAAGGAAAGTGGAACCAGCACAGTAAACATTGCCTTCTGAGAGTCGTAGTGAATAGAGACAATGTGTTCATCTATCTGATTATTATATTTCAGTTACAAGTCTGATTTCACTCCACTGCTGGCTGACTGTAAGTGTTACAGTTGTCAAAACCACACCAAGGCTTACATCAATCACCTGTTGGTTACGAAAGAATTGCTAGCCAGGGTACTGCTCATGATGTAAGTACTGAGTTCTGTTAAAAAGGGGGGGGGGGTAATCATGTGCTGCTTGAATCACTATTAGAAGGCAATGATTCTAATATAGTGTGTATGAATTGCATGGGACTATGAAGATTGATGAAATCTTCTAATTTGGGAAAATTTTTCTAACAACATTTTGATAGTTTGCATGTTGTACTATCAATAATCAGTTTTAATACTGAAAAAAAATATCACATGGCAAGATTTGATTTTTCTCATGGCCAGTTTTTCACAGAACAACTGCACCATTCTGTGCATAACTGAATGCATTCTTCAAGGCTGAATTTGAATGTATTGAAATGAACTTGTTAAAAGTTTGCTTGGGAAATTTCTCGGTCCACTTTATTTTTCTTATCATGTTATGGTTTTGTTTCACTTCTATCATTTTGTAATATATCTAGTTGATATTTGCTCACATGGCAATCTTTTTATTCATGTTGCAGTAAATTTTACTCTCGGCCAAAATTTTGACTTAAAAAAAAGTTCTGGGTCACTAACTTATTTTTCTGTTGGAAATGCTGGTATAATGGTTCATGAGTAGGTGCCTATGCTAAACTGTTGGTCAGAATAAACTGATTTGCATATACATGTATCATCATGTGAAGTAACAAACAAAACTTATTTCAGCTTTAAGGATCCGTGTAGACGCTCAGTAACACAAAAAGATGGTCTTCACGCAGCACACGGTTGAATTTCATGTGAACAGACAATGTTTTTTACATACTGTAAAATCTGTATTTGAAGCCTCATCTCTAATATAAGTCACACCCGTTCTTATTGAACAATTGAGAACCAAACATTCACAATTCCTCATATATGTAGATGCGCTAATAGAAGCCACACCCTCTGTTGCATTGTACCATTTTAATAGAAGTCGCAGCTTTTAATACAGATGTTACAGTACATTGTGTGATGCGATGCCACGTGACAACTACCGCTCTACAAATCCTGTCGGCCATTATTGTTACATTATTGTAGTTTTATACCTTTGTTAGCTATTGCTACAAAATGCCATGAAAAGCTGTTTGTTTAATAGGAAAATGCTTGCTGACGTTTTCCTTATTGTATGACATTTGCGTGTGCCCCAAGTGTTTTTCGAAGAGGTTACTTACCAACATAAGAAAATTGACAGGATTCAAAAATGTTTTGTGCTTTTGAACACACCCCCAAGCCACTAATACTTAGCTCTGCCTCTGATAAACTAGTGGTACACCAGTGACAGTCAAGTGTTTCTATGTCTTACCTACAAGCCATTTCAGGGTTTCTGTGGCGATGTATGAAACTTATTGTATAGCGCCCTCTGCAGTCAGGAATATGAAAATGATACCTGACTATCATAGATTGAATAAATGGATCAATTTAATTTTTTTTTTTTTTGCAGACACAATTTTCATCACTACTTTGAGTTCTTTGAAACCATTAGACAGTCGATACGAGACGACAAATTCCAACAATTGAAGAAAATTATTATGGATAGCACATGAAGTTCCACATTATAAATTAAATATGGTGGCCGTAACACGTTTGAAATCGCCATTTGTGAATCTTTTCATACATCTTGTTTATCTAGCTATTCGTACTTGTATCAGTATAACCAAAGATGTTTTTCACACACACAGGAATAAAATCCGATATTCAATGCTATTCAGTTCAAAAAACTGTACACAGCGAGTCAAACCTCACCCACAGGGTTAAATATAAAATAAAAATATCAGGTTCAGTGTGCCCTCTAACAGCAGTATCTGTATTTATGTAGAGATCTAAAAGTTGAGTCAGATTGTTGACTTTTCTGGGGAGGTACGTTTTTAAAAAATGTATGCAACTATATTGGCGACTTGACAGGAGCAGACAAATGGTGTGCCCCCAGATTTTTTTTGTTATTATGCCTATTTTGTTCATAAAATGTGAATTTCGTTTTATCGAATTCCATAACAAAATGATTTTTAAGATCCCGACATCAATATACAAATTTCTGAAAGTAAGTTAGAACTAGAACTCACTGCGATTTGTTATAAATTATATAGGGCACACTGATTTTTTGTACCCATGAAAATTATAAGTTTTGAAATTTGGTTGAACCATTGACACATATGGTTGTCTGGGGCAACTGCCAATTTCAACCCCCAAGAATCATCTTGTAGAGAAACAGTCAATTTACAAGACTCTGCCTGATTGGCTACCCAACCCTAACACATAACAGTCTGACCAATCAGAGAGCAGCTTGCTAATTGACAATTCTACCTTGTATAGATACTTTGACTTAACTGGAGAAGCCAGCGTGATACAAATAATGACAACACAATTTTTATAACATGCATTTTACTAAAGTAAAGACAATTATCACATGATATGTAAAATAATTTTACAATAAATTCATATTTCCACTGATGGACTGATACATTGCTTCAAATAATCACACTGAAATGAGTTGTCAAAGTGTAAAATACTAAGAAAAATTCTCACTTGTGTCCATAAAAACTCCTCTATGTTGCTATAGCATTGTGCATCCTACTAGTATAAATTCATCAGAGATTACCTACAAATACTCAGCCAATTAGAGATTATCTATGATTACTCAGCCAATCAAAGCTTACATGTATCTGTGATTACCTACAAATACTCAGCCAATTAGAGATTATCTATGATTACTCAGCCAATCAAAGCTTACATGTATCTGTGATTACCGGTACTCAGCCAATCAGAGATTATTTATGATTACCCAACCAATCAGAGATAATGCCTCAACCAATTGAAAAAAATCCAACTTGAAAACATGGTCAGGTGTAGAGACATTGAAAACAAAACAAAATATTCTGTGCAGATATGCCCACATATACACCGACTAACAGGCAATGTAGCCCACTAGCTAAAAATACAATATTAATCACAATAATTAGTTGCTAGCAGTATCCCATCAGAATGAACTATATACTCTAAATAAGGAAATATAGCATCACACAGACAATGTCTTTTTTGTTCATTAGCAGTAATCACAAACAAAACAAAATATAGACTAATTATTACTCAATGATTGTTTCAAATCTAAAACATCACCCATTAATCATGGACAGAGAATGAAATATTGTTACGAATAATGAAGGCAAAAGCATAAACATGAATATACATACAAGTTTTAAATTCTCTGGGGAAAAAAAAAACACCACGAAAAAAGGGTGTGTCATTCGATGTTACTGTATATAATACAAAAAAGCGATAAGATATAGAGCCATATCTATTGGAATAAAAACAAGCATAGCAGTTTAGTTATTGAGACTTCTTATCAAGAACACTTCCGGAGATTATATTTCATATTGAAAAACTAGAATATTTATTCCTTTTATTAAAAGCATCGTCACTTTTGTCTTGACACAAATGTATTAAGTTTTAAACAACCCACTTCACGTACAGTATGTTTTAGATGAATAAGGCCAGAGACAAATACACTGAGCAGTGGGTCCACTCCAGTATGATGGATATATTTTCTGAAAGCTAAGTTATAGCTATAGTGACAATTTGTCACATTAATGTTGTACACTTTTGCCATAAACACTGCCCTCTAGTGACAGAGCGCTTTTGTGATGACAAAATCATGCAGCAGAATAGAAGTGACATTGGAAATGTGGATCATCTGCTTTTAAAGCGCGAGAGTCGTCACCTGCGCGGGAATTGAGTCCCAAGTGACGATAACAACACACGCTAAAAACCCAAAGGCTCACAGGTAGATGATTGTTTGTAAACAACCATGCGCAGACTCCCCCGCTTTAATATATTGATTGATTGATTCGCTGTAACGCTAGCGAGATATGCTGATTGACGTATTTTCAAGCTTTTGGATACAACCATATAACGTAGGTGTAATTTCAACACAGTTTAACACCATCACATGCTGCAATGAGGTCAAGTTTCTACGACGATGTTCACCGGGTGAATCAGTAGTCTCGCTGTATTCAAGCTAAAACACTGTATGTGCCTTAGAGAATTTAAACCTTCATACAATATATATCTGTTATATTCACAGTTTCTGTGTACAGATGTGAAATAAAAATGAATAACAAAGAATGAATTAACCACAGGGGATTTTAAAAAAATTATTGCTACACAAGGCTTCAGAGAAGTAGTAATGGTATAGATACAACAAAGGGTGGATGATTTTAAGGGCACACTAATGCCACTTAAACAAGAAATAGTGTTTTATCGTCCAGAAAATTTCTAAAATTTTCTAGCATAAAAAGTATTAATAGTTTTGAAATAAATGCTTGTAAAATGCCAATCATACAATATAGACCCCTAACGGGATTATCAATGTTATTCACCTCTAAACAAGTCAATATCAAACCCAAGTGCACAATTTATGCAAATATACATTGATACATAATATCAATTAATAGTTATTATATCTTACGTCAATAGACTCAGCTAATGAAAATGACTCAGAATAATTTTTTTTTTAGTTTGTAAAATGAAACTATGACAATACATGTCAATATGCTGACAATTAAAGGAACGCCAACTCTGATTACGTACATGATCAGGCCACCATGCCAGGTCATATTTTTGGTTTAACCAATGAAATCGATGATGACACAGCCACCAAATAATGAAGAATTAAAAAAAAATGATTATACAAATATTGTCAAAAAACTCATTGGAGTGTGAAATTACCGATTTTTTTTCAAATTAAATTTTTGTAAAAAATCAAAGTAGTAATACATATATACCATATATTTTAAATGAATTACAAATATGTTTGGGAGGAGCAAACAAGGATATATTCGACCACAGTGATTCAATTGACCTTTTAACTCAAAAACATTTAATCAGACCGTTTCTCGTTTTCAAAAAATGGGCAGCGAGGCAATTTTTAATTTTCGGTAAAATATTTGACAGTGCACAAAGTTTGCAAGTTTAATCAATTTTTTGCACAGTGGCAAAATAGGTGAAAAAAATAGACTTGATAGACACATTGGCAAGAAACGTTTTTGTTTTTTTTGTTAGGCCTAATCATAAACATAACATGACATAAACAAATTATAAAACAAAGTACGGTAGTATAACTATATACCATCTCTGTGCGGGTTAACAATACACTTGTGATGGATGAATTAGTAGTAGTAATAACCTTGTTTGCTCTGTCACATCAGAAAACAGCTCCCTGATTGGCTCTAAAATCCAACAGTTTCAACTCTCTAGCCAATCAGGTTATTGGAGTCATCATTCTTATTAGTTTTCTTATTATATTACTGTTGTTTATAACTCTGATACAAGTCATTCCAGGGGTCTTCAACAACATTTGACGGCAAAGTTGTCATCCAAGCATAGTTAGGATCTTTGATGGCTGATGGTGGTGGTGGTGCCGGACATGGTGAAACATACCTACCAACCCTCTGCGGATAATAGTATGGAGCACCAGGTACTGGGTTGCCATGTTGTTGTGGTGGTGGTGGTGGTGGTGGTGGTGGTACTTGTCTGCCATTACCCACAAAATAGTTGGGCTGGACCACTTCAGTACGGGGGTGGTAGTCAGCGTATTGAGGGGCTACTCGTATACCATATGCCTGGGCTTCCTGATAAACCAACTGTTCCGCAAACTGGTGATCGTTTTGTTGTTGCTGTAAGCGCACGTTAGCGGGCAGGCACTGCTCAGGTTTAAGTTCATTGGCATCATTGACCTGTTAATTACAGACACAAACAAAATCAAGATTCATCATTTTTAATTTACTATTATCATCTATGAATTTCTGCCTAATTTAGTCACTAGCTTGTAGACTCGATCAAAATGGTTTAATGACATCAGGGTCCATAGCACCAAGAGCCAAATGATTTACAAGACTTTTCTGGATCTTTTCCCAAACTTTCTTGCATTTTTTCCCCTCCAAGACATTTTGACCCTTAATTCAGGCCAACTTCATCACCAAAGCTCATCAAAGTTCTGAGGATATGGTAGTTCCCTGGAGAAAACGGGCCTTTATAAAATGAATTAATAACTATGAAGAAATTTAAAGACTTTTCAAAGATTTTTTTATTTTTCCTATAATTTAAAGACAACTCGAAGACTTTCCAGACCTCAAAAAATCCAAAGACTTTCAAAAGAATTTCCCAACGCTATGGACCCTGGACATGCACTGTCACTGTCTTGTCCATACTAACCCTTTGGGCTAATTCACTTGTACCGCAACAGGCGGCTGTCGCATAAGTGCCTAACTACCGATGATTTATACACTGATATCCAAGTATCTAAACTACATCTTGGTCAAAAACAGCCACATCTAGCTACCAATCTGGTTATACCTAGCAGGATACAATGGTTTTATCAAATCAAGTTGTTATTGTGTTCAATCTGACATCAAAAATACAGAAGCATTTTATTTACTATGCTGCAAAATCATTTGAAATAAATCTTGCACTTGAAATGATACAACTACATTGGTCATATTTCTACCTGTTACATTTAAAAATCAAGAATGTCTAGTTATCTGTGGTCATAAAATATATAAATGCAACACGTTCCTGTTTACCTATTAACTTATCCACCTTTCCATAAATGAGCCGAATAAATGAAACTTTTGCAGGACTTCACAAGCAATACAGCAATTTGGGATCAATTTCAACAAGATTTGAGTTTCTGATTTGTCCAATCACAACACATGTTTTGCAAGCTGTCTACAATGGAAACCATGTGACAAATCTGACCAAACCAATAACTTAATGACCAGACAGTGATTCAAAAGTAAAATTTAGACAAAATAAAAACTGAAAAGTAATTAATCACTAATAGTACAAAATATCACATCATAGTTAATGATATTTAGTAGATAATATTCATTAATCGTAGTCCTAAGTAACTAGTAACATAACTATTAAAACTAGTTGTTTCTAATAGTTACTAAATATTATCTACTATATATCATATTTATCGGTTTGAGCTGTGTTTATTTATTAACTACTTTTACAATATCATAGTTAATGTTGGAAGTTCCCCCCTTTTGCTATCTTCCATGTACTGTGTATATTAAAAGTGCCCGCACTTATTTACATGACAGAAGTGAATTCAAAATTCAGTTTACAGCCAATGAAATTTGTTATCTTATGTATGCTCCAAATAGAGCAAATTCAGTACACGCTTTGATGTTATGTTTTGTTAGGTCATTTGTAACTTGAACTGGGAAACTTGAATAGATTGGTACTTACAGATGGTCTACCCTCCATTTCATCTTGCTGAAGCCATGTTGCTATGGCAACATCATCCACAGTTTCATCGGATTTCTTTAAAGAAAAAAACACAAAAAAAAGAAATTCAACTAAGGCATCAAATGTAAACAAAAATAAGATTCTATAGACAAGCAAAGCCAGGCAATCAAATTTAAAATGAACAGATTTACAGGATATACAATATCAAACGTTTTATGCAGAAACCCTCTATTATTCAGCATTTTGTATATACTTGAATACTGATCAAAATATATTTTTTTTTTGAAAATAATAAAACAAAGCAAAAACAAGCTAGTAAAGTGGACCTTACAAAGGTTAAATTTTACCCTAATAAGTTGATTCATGTTTTAAAATATATGAAATAGTATAATTAACTACATAAATAAAAACATGTACCGAGGGTTCAACAAGTGTTTTCTTCTGTATACCCAACTCAACTTCTTGTAGTTTTCTGGCCAAGAGTTCATCATTGATGGATGGCGGACAATTATATGGATCCTTGTGGGCAGACATGGCTTGCTCTTCTCTGTGCAGAATCAGTGTGTCTTGCGCTTTCTGTAAAATAAAGCCAACATGCCAACACATAAAAACAAAAGAATTCAATTCTCAACACTGGTGGTGCTGTTAAGCATGTAGTACAGTAAAACCTGACTGGGACTGGGATCTATGGTCGGTTTTCAGAGGGAGTCTGTTTATTCAGGGTGGGCGTGACTTTGATTGAAACAACAATTACATGCATGCATGGGACAAATGAAAGATTCAGAAGTTTGCCTTCGGTGATTATATTCACATTTATTGTATTATTTAAATAAAATAATAATTTACCAAACAAGGCAAGAATATTATGTTATGTACATGAAATTAATAAACATTAAAATAACTGTTCGAACAAACCAGGTAAGTATCGCGTATAGTGACTGAAGGTGTCCATAATTATCATAATTTATGCAGACAGTCAATTTTGCTGTTAAGTCAATGAATCAAATTTCGATGTAAAAAAATCAGCAAGTTTTGACTGCTTTAAAGAACCAACTTTTTTCAACGATTTTGTTTTCCGTTACAATTTTGAGATCTTAGAAATCTGTCAAGTAACTGGAGTCTTTGTTTATTGCGAAGTTCAGTAATCTCATCAACATGTCTAGCACATCGTCATGCGTCAAGTGACTGCCGTCGTGTTGGTCGATAATTTGACTGTCGTTGCAATTTATGTCACCGTACTTATGTCTGTAGATTCATGGTTTTCTTTATCTGCAATAAAATTCTCAACAATCTGTTGCTCCCACTCGCCGCCATTCATTGCTTCAGTCGGTATACGTTCATCAAAGTTGAGGTATTCATCAATGCTACACTGTGTTTGCGAGTCTGCAGCTTGTTAAATGAGGTTTTCGTTTTCTTTGTTGTCGTCTGCTTCTTCGTCATCATCAATTTCAATTTTAAAGCCCCCTTTACGGAAACATTCGAAAGCACAAAATTATCTATCAGATTTGTTATGAAAAAAAGAAAACTCAATGTCTTTTGATCGTTGAAGGAGTGATAATGCAGTGTGCTTCGCTGCAACTGAAGGTGATGACGCCGATCATTTATTTATATCCGGGGGTCATTATACTGTCCCGACACCACGCGATGTGTGGGCGTGTGGTGTGAAAAACGTAACCAGTTGCCATTGTTTTACACGGGACGTTACTTGTAGTGTGAGATTTGGTATTGTTTCTGTGACGTTCACGGTAAATTGAACACAATGCACACTTTTTAGGTCGGGCAGACTGGATTACTAGACAGCGGACGTGGTGCAACTGGTCGGATGGTTGATGTATTCAGTGTGAATATTGGACTTGGGACCGATCAATGCGGTCGGTGTTCGGAGTAAACAGTGGTTGGATTTAACAGGTTGTTTTAACATGGGCGTCTATGGAGAAATTTCCGGGCTACATAAATCGATCGATTCTGACAGTAGGTCGGTTTATCCAGGGGTAAATTTTGACAGGTTTTACTGTACGTACATACATACATGCATGCATAATATCACTAACATTAAATTTGCACATATTCTTTGATATGCTTTGTATTTTTATATATTTGTTTTTTATTCTGATTGTAGATGAGTTTCTTTAGTCTTGTAATAGAAAATAGAATTCCCAAACAATTATTTGATGATCATTTTTTGAAATATTGAACACCAAATGAGGGTGCACCACCGGATGGGCGAATTTATGGCAGAATCCAGCACACTGCATCTTGTATACACCAAACAGTTAAATTATTCAAAACAATCACATAACCACCAACATCAGCTACATACCTGAATAACAATATCGTGTTGCTTCTGTCTAATTTGTTTATCGACTTGCTGTAATTCCAACCTGATCTGTTGTTTCTCTACAGGAGGTGTAGGAGTCACAACTCTGAAAATAAGACCAATAGAAAACAGATTATCCTGAGCACATTTTATGACTTTCACCAACTATCAAAAAAATTTGCCTCACAAAGCAGTTTACAGGAATCAAATTGAAAGAGCAACGGTCGTCACGCAACACATGTTCGATTTTATGTGAAAGTATTTTACATACATTGTATATGTTGATGTAGACTCGGGGAGTTACAATAAACTTTCAATTCTTTAGAGGACGGCAATTAAATTATCAAAACATGATCAATTCCACAGAGTTTCAAATAAAATTAGATTTTAGATTTGTGTTTTGGTTCAAGTTGCTCAAAAACAAAATGTAACCAATGATATGACTTTAATGTGACTCACCTGTCAACCAGATCTGAATACCACACTGTTGCAGAAGTGATCGGCGTCTCTGTGCTCGAAGCATTTACTTTATCTTCATAAGAGAGATGTTTCCCGGGAGAGAACTGCTGCACAGTCGATGACATCTGAGAATCCTGGTATGCCATAACAGCTGTGGTTGGTGTATAACATGTCGGCATAGCTTGAACAGGATCGGTCTCGTGAAAGATCGACTTTGACATTCGCTTGATTGGATTCAGTAAATCCTTGGGGTCATGGCACAAACTATCATTATCTTTAATTCTTTGTTTCTCAATGGCCATTTGCTCCATTTCCCGACGTATTCTTCGGCCACGGTTAACATCTTCAACACACGAATGGTGATCATGTCCAGGCTTTGGAGGCATTTCATTATTTCCTTGTTCATTTCTTCCAAATCCAGGCACACTCTCCCCTTCTTCCAATGAAACATGGCGGACGATGGTTTTACTGATGGTTGGAATTCCCGTGGTAGGTGGGGCAATGTTCAAAACCGGATTACTCGACCATGGATTATAGTACTGACCAGCATATCTGGAGTCCTTGTTGGAACTGGTTGTATCTCGTCTTGCCATGTCTTGTAAATTGACGCCAGAACTTGAAACCAGATGCTGGGATGTAGTTAGTTGAGTCAGAGAACGATTTCCATGACCAGTGCTTTTTGCCTTAGAATTAATCATGCCAGCGACTGTACTCAGTATAGAGGAGACAATAGCAGTAGAACTTTCAGGGGTTGTGTTAAATGGTCTGGTTTGCTGATGAGATTCATAATTTGGATCTAACTTGGCCATTAAATGTTCTCTTTTGTCCTGTAACTGGTACATAGAGAGTCTCTGAAAGGATAAAGAGGGAGCGGAGCGTATTAATCTAAAAATAAATTTGGTTACGGCACCCTCAATCTTTAACACTGATCTTATACTATAAACATGAACAGCGCCCTCACACAACCATCTTGAACAGTGCTTGCATGCACATGTGTCACATGTTTTTTATTTGTTTTGTGTATTAATTTCACACTTTGTAACTTGTTTACATTTACTGCAAATAGTATCCGTTCTTGTTCTGAAATAAGTGTCTGTCTTTAATATCGGATGACCAGGATGCACAAGTTGAAGTTAACACATTGACTGTTGACACCCCCCTCCCCCACTGGTTTGGTATGAAGCATTCACAGCAGTCATCAGTCAATTTTGACTCTACATGACCTGCAAGACACACATTTTTAAAAGGTCACACTATTCACACAAAGATGCCCCACAATTCCATGGTGCTTCACTTTTTCTACTTACATGTACTGGATTAGACGATGTGCCAGAATAGCCAGAGCCAGGAGTATCTGGTGGTGGCGGATCAGTCTGGTTCCTTTGCCTATACATTGGATACTGGTCCAGGTGTCTTGTGTACCCTTTGATTTCAGGAGCATATGGCGGGGCACCAGAAGGAATGCAACCTCTGGGATTTCCCTCAGCTACATTGTATCCCATGGGGACATATCTCCCATGGTAAGCATCATCCACAAAACGTGAAGGTGGTGCTCTTCCAAAGATGTCATCTGGAACATATCTTGGATGTGGTGAAGCGATTGATTTGTAATACGGATCCGACGGATGTAAGTGTCTTGATTCTGGAACTTTGTAGCCCAACTCGCAAGAAGAATATGTTGGATGAGGTGAATACCGACGATGGTCAATCGGTTCCTTGTAGGAAACTAAAATTAAGATGTTGAAACGATTTGACATACACTAACATTACTACTAATAAGAAACTACATAAACTTCAAAATATGAGAGTAAATTTGAGCCTCTGCTCGATGAATCAATAAATAGTAATTTCAGATGCTGTATCATATCTAAACAGGGATATAACAATGCCATCAAGTGGGAAAGATAGGGTTCTCCCTACAAGGGTGAGGAGTTTTTGATAATTGTAAGTTAAAATGGCTTCCTTGGGGCCAAAATTACTGTCAGACTGGTCACAGGTGAAGACAGTGGCCACATGTGATCCCTGGTCAATCAGAATTTTATGGTTGCCAGAGGATCAGCGCCCTCATGCCATGGCCATGCACCCCAGTTCCCTTGTTAACATGGTTAATATCCCTGTATAAACCTGGTTTTTGATGCTTAAAGGTATTTCTCATTATGTTGTTTTAACAAAATAACCATTTCCTGAGTATATGACCAAATATGGACAAGTTTCACAACATATACACACAAGCGATAGTGAACTGATTAAAATTGAGTGGTATACTCACCACCACTGGAGATGATTATTCTATTAAAATAACTTTTAAAGTTATTCTTTTATACTCACCATGATCTCATAATGGATTGATGGATGGAATTTTAACAACCATTTTGAATTGATAATATGTTATTTATATAAAATGTAACATCCACAGGTTTTTGACACACACTGTATAATTGTTCGTAAATTGAAATTACCTTCTAAATGCGGTGCTTGTGAGTTTTCATAGACTGAGGAATAATCGCATCTGGGGTACTTTTCCTTCTCTGGTATTGGTGAGTTTCTTCCCAGCGACAAAGGTATAGGGCTGGACATTCCACTGGTGCTAGAAATGAAGATGTGAAGATGCACATATTGTACTCAAATGATAGAAACAGTAAATTTGTACATGTGCAGTGGTTAGAATATCGTGGGGGCTGTCATTGCAAAACGGTTGTTTCAAAATACTTAACCTATCTGTGGGAAAATAAATTAAAGACCATACTGGGAGGGGAAAAGCAGCAGAAACAACATTTCAAGTCACTGAAAATGAGATGGAAGTCACTGAGAAATTACCCCTTGATGTACACCAACAACCAGCATTTTAAATTGCATTTGATTGGCTACCTGAACCTAACACAGTCAAACTTAGGAAACAGCTTATTTTTTTGACAGTTTTTTTTCGACTTATCAAATTCTGCTTTATATATATATATATATATGGTTCAACCCAACTGCCAATTTATATGAACCAGAATTAGCTCCTTTAACTCACTGAACATTTTTCTCTTGACAACTGAATATTTTAATCACTATGAGTCCCCCCAAGCTGGTAATAATTAATTCCTTGGTAACCATCTATGAGCTCCTCTAAGTCACTGATATATATCCAAATACGCATTAATTTACAATAATATAGGACTACCACCAACAAGTTTAGATATTTAGAGAATTTACCATGGACTGATGAAAGGAGAGGAATTAGTTGACATTTCGTCATCACAAAATGATGGGAAATCGTTATCCAAGGTCATGGTATCTGGACCCCTAGCAAGTAGATTTTCATTACTGCTTTCTGTTAGCGGTTTGCTACCTCCCCCTTCTATTTTTTTCTCCACTTTCCCTTTAATGTGAGTTCTTCTGCTCTTTGCACGGAATCTGTAACAATAACAAACAAATAAAAAAACAATTAACAAAATATTCATTTCAAAACTTATCTACATAAATTCCAGTGTTCTAATTTACCCTTATATGTAGGTTAATTACGCCACTCACATTGAATGTGTTTCAAGTTATTGAGGTCAAATTCAAACACTTTCCCTTGTTTACATTAGGCCGAGAAGCGCCAATAGAATGCAACAGAAATAGAATCCACATCACAGCACGGCACGGCACAAAAAGATTTTTATTATCATTTCTCACAGTTATCCATTATTCAAGTATTGCTACGAACAAATTACTGCAAAATATACAGTCAGTATGTATCACATATGATACGATTACCATACTGCCTTCATGTATACTTTGCAGTATTCTCGTAATAACCTCATCATATTCATGTTTTATTATACAACAAAAACAGAAAGTTGGAGCATTCAACCTTTTCACCACCAGACTTTCTCGCCCAAATTTTTTGGCACTTTTTTCTTATATTCTTGAGTATTTCTGGAAATGAACCCAAATTTTGCAGCCAACAGACAAAATGTGAGTCAATTTTCATTTTTTACTCAAAAAAATTGTCTATTATTGTCCCTTCTTCTGAAGGAAAGTGCAGACTATAAACAGGACTATTTTGTGAATTCGTTATGAAAAGAGGGAACTGGTGTTGAAAAAGGTTAAAACACCACCAAATAACAAAGACAATGCACTTTACCTTTCTAGTTCCTCTGGAGAATGTGCAAATGTACAGTTAGCAGCACGTGGGCATCCTCCACTTTGCTGAACATCACGGCATAAACTGGTCTTGTACTTACTATTCTGTGCCTGAAAGCAAAATACAAACCAAAATAATACAAGCAAATAATAAAACTGTGATGTAGTACATAGGTGAACAGACAGACATGCACACTGATTATACACTCACTCAAACATATACAACTTTTAAGAGGAAAAGATTTCATCATGGACCCCTCCCCCCCCCCCCATCCGACACTTAACCCTAAGGCTAACTGTAACCGAAATCCTCTTATATCCTGGTGCATATATAATTTAATTATATATGCACCATTTTTGGAAATCTATAGTTATGTATAGAGGCATAAAAATTGAATTGCCGGCAAAGGATTACAGTTAGAATTAGGGTCATGGTGTCGGGTGGGGGAACAAAAGGAAGTCTTTCCCAACTTAGATCGGTGAACAGATGGGCAAACAAACGACAAACCGACTGACAATAGCACACAATTACTCACAGTCACAACAACACGACACAGAACTTAATATCTAGGAAATATCTTTCTATTTCCTTCACTTTATGGTACTGGTGACAGCACATTTTCAAAGGATCTATGTAACTTAGTTTTGTTTAAGGATGGGCGTTTCTCTTTCCGTGTGAATTTAACTACAATGACCTAATTTACCAGTCGTCTAAATTACAAACAAGGAAATGAAATATACCTATAGGTACAGGAATACTATTATATGGATACATTTTTCCCGCCTAAAATTTGATGAAATTTTTTTAACTAAATGAACATAATTGTTTTTCTAAAATCAACAAAAATGACTGCCTTTTTTATTTTTCATTCTGAAATTTGTATGAGAATTGAATTTTTCTTTCATATTTTGTAAAATTCCGAAAAAAAAAGGGAGAAAAGAAGACAAGCAAAGTTTTAAAAGATGTGTGCTGTGACCAGACCTACTTTTTGCATTCCCGAAAATTTTTGAAAAAAACATTACAAAATCAACAAAAACAACTGGCTTTTTTTTTTTATTCTGAAATTCGTATGACAATTGAATTTTTCTTTCATTTTTTGTGAAATTCCAGGGAAAAAGAAGGGGAGAAAAAAGACAAGCAAAGTTTTAAATGATGTGTGCTGTGACCAGACCTACTTTTTGCATTCCTGAAAAATTTTAAAAAAACCATACAAGGGTTTACGAAGACAAGACGACTTTTTTTTTTTATATTTAATACTTATTTTGGTGTAAACAACGAAAAGACGACTTTATTGTTCAAACGCTGGAATACAAAAGATTATTCTGACAAAGTCACATGAAATGAAATGAATATGCATGTCATAACTTGTTGTATCTTTAAATCAAAATTGTGAAAATATATATATATATATAATAACAAATATATATATGATATAATAATATTTCTTATATTATTAATAATTGTCTGTAGTATTTTTGTCGTTCATCAATTTTGAGTTCTTTTTTCAATCAATTTTTACATTTCATGTACTTTTATTATTTACTTTATTACTTAATTACTTTATTAATCTGAAAAGCTAAAAAGAAATGTTAACTCTTTATTTACGATATTAATAAAGCATTATTCTATTCTATTCTATTCTATTCAATATAATAAATATTTCCTTTGTTATTTCAACTATGCAAAACTGATTCATTAGTTAGATTGTTGCAAAAAGTATATTTCATTTTTTTTTTATTGCACTAACCTGTTCCAGTACTTTTCTGTGATGGCTATGGTTCTGTACAAAATCCACTAACCCTAAAACAGCAGTTTTAGCAGCACGCATGGAACGCTGACTTTCCTCCCAACTCGGTATAGCTGAATCTGCGAAAGTTGAATACAACATTACGAGAGAGCGGTTTTTAAATAATTTTGAGATTTAACCAATAATGATAATCAGATATGCATACACTCGCACTCTGGGGTGTTTGAGAAAAGGACAAATTTCATATGTCAAGTCTTATAAGTTCCAGTTGTTGAAGGATGGTGGTCACCCCCCACTCCACCGGCCATGCATGGGTGAGATTCGGGCCGTGGGAAGTGGCAAACCGGAATGTCAGTTTCGATCTGCCTGTGATACCTGAAGAATTTTTTTTTCATATCTATTCATCCAGGAGCTTTTAATGGCGTGTCCCTAAAGCCAAGCATCACTGATGTACAATGGCTTATTTCCTGGCATGTTAGGCTCAAAAGAAAATTATAAATTTCAAGATAAAAAAAATTGCTCCTTCAGAAGTCATCTTCATTGAAATACGATCTCAATTTAGGTATTTTTTTTAACAAGCTCATCAATCTTGATTTTTGGAACTCCATTTCAACTCAAGATGCTGTATGAATGTTGATTCTTTTCTAGCAGCTACAATTCTAACAAAGACGATTTCACAGATCCAAATTTTCTAATTTGAACACTTTCTTCAATCAAATACACAATAGTGTCTTTGAAATTACAACTACTCGTACCTGGTGCTGGATCGATGTTTGCTAGTAACTCAAAATCTTCAGTCAATCGTGCTAGATTTGCAGGGTCACCTGACCTCTGAAGAGCAATAGACAGTTCCTGTACACTTGCAGCAAAGGAGGCTGGAGTCTGCAGCTAAAATTAATAGAACTACCTGTTAATTATTTATTTATTTATTTATTTTTACTACACATATATCAATGCATTGTGGAAGAAGAAATAATGAATATGGTCACAGAGCAAAATTTCGGGTGATGAAAGAAATCATGTCACAATAGCAATTAGTGAAGAATTGCAAATTTTCAACATTTTCTACGACATTTCAGACTTTTGTTTCTTAAAAAAACATCAAATAACCCAAATTTCTTTTTTTACTTTTGACATTTATATGACAAATGACAATTCGGACTGAACTGTCTTAGGGTGGATTTTTCACCACTCCAGCAAAAATTACTTTATAATACAACGGTGAATGTTATCCACAGTACACTTATAGGTGGTATTAAGGTTGTAACTACTATAAAATACTTTATTTTCGCTTGGAATTAATTTTCGCTATTTTTGCTGAAGCAATGATTCAGTGAAAATAAAATCAAGCGAATATTCTTTTTTTTCTATATTTTACATTTAACTCGTCAAAAATCAGTGAAAATAAAATCAATACAAAACACTCAAAAAGTCTTTTCAGTGAAAATTAATTCCAGCTAAAATCAAGTATTTCACAGTATGACAAAGGTAATTTCTGAAATTGTGCATCATAACTTGATTTTTCAAAAACGAGAAGAAAATAAATAGCAACCATCTACTAATTTGTGAATTATAAACCCAACAGTCTGGATTGTGACAGTTGGTTATATTCAAAATGGCCGCTATATAGAAGCATAGCAAAATAGTTGTTACTATGGAAACAAACTAAGCTTTATTCACTTTTTTTGTTTGCTTGGCATTATATATTGATTAGCCAAACATCAAATATTCAATATGTAATGGTTTCATTTTATTTTTCTCCTCATCCAATCAGCCCGAGAGCGAAAATCATCTCTTGTAAGTAACTTACCTTGTCTATAATTGATTGCATATGTGATTTGTGCGATGCATCGCCGTATAACAATGACGACCACTGCTCTGGGGATATACGTAAACCGGCCTCCATGGCGATCTGCACAATCTGCGAGTCGTGTTCTCGTCGGAGCGCTTCATAAGAACGGAACTAGAATAGAATAACAAGATCAGAAGGTGGATATAACATAATTTGTTGAGAAGCTTGTTTCTGTGGTTGATACATTACTGAGCAAACTAGCGACAGGGGAGAGGGTTGGGGTTACATGTGGATGCCTGCAATACAGAATCAACATAATTGAAGCTGGTATAGCCAAATATCTGACTAAAACTGCATATATATGCCGACGGGAGGTGAATCAACATCGATTGACAGCTCCCGAAAACAGATGGAACTAATCATCAAAGAAGAGATGGAACTACCGTAATCATCAAAGAACAGCAATCCAAAATGTGGTCATACGTCAACATCACATACCTCTTCTTTTAACTGCATCAAAGAGGAATCCTCCTCTCGCTTGGTGACTTTGAAGCAGGAAGCTCGGTACAGTAACTGCACAACGTGACCTACACTGGTTTTTGATGCTTGGGGAAATTGCGGTTCAAGTCGCTGAACCACAAACAAGACCAATACTTTCCTTGACAGGGCATTGCCGTCTTCTAAAGCTAACAACACCAGTTTCAAACATTCTTCTTGCATGGCTGAAATCAACACAGAATACATCAAATATAAGTGTTGCAATCGACCATTTTTTCGCTCACTGCGAGATAATGCATTACGGGTAAACAAAGGTCATGGCGGTGCAGTGATGTCAAAACGCTATGTAGAATTTGACGAATGCTTTGTATTTTAATACACGCTTATTAATAATGTGCCATACACATTTGATGATGCAAGGTTATCTCAATGTAATGTTCCTATCTTAAATATATCGTTATTTTGTCATTTAGCTATAAAAGAAGAAATTCCAGTTCAACATCAAATCGTTCACTTTTTGTGACAGGAATTCATTCTACGCCTTGCTAGCAATACTGTAGCTGGGAATAATTTTGGGTGTTTTGCATGGAATTTATTTTCCTTGATATTTGACAAGTTGCATGTAAAATAAAGGGAAAAAGGTATATTCGCTGGATTTTATTTTTACTGAATCATTTCTTCAGTAAAATTGCGAACATTAATTCTAAGCGAAATTAAAGTATTTTACAGTTACGAGTACATGAGATCTTGCAATGAACGAAAAATCACTTATTCAAAGGTCAGTGGGTGTTCATTAGTAATTTGAGTGCTGAAGTCAAACTCTTTTCACTACTTACAAAATAAAGATTTATTTTTTTCATAAATTCTGATCAAGTCCTTTAGGTTATAAAATAATATGTTTGTTTCATTCAAATTTAATAAAAAAAATTACAGAATTCATAAAGATGAGAAAAATTTTGACTGACTACAGAAAAACAGTACAAATCAGTATTTTCCGTAATTTAGTTAGTGTGACGATTGTTTTTTTTTTAAAACATTTTCTCTACGCAGACTTTGTTTAGATAAATTCTGATTAAAGAAAAAGATATAATTTTTTGGTGATTGTGGGAAATTACTGGTTGCTTTGTGTACACTTTTCATACATGCGTAACATATTCATCTGCTTTCCACTAAAACTGATCTATTCAGATAACAATGTCTCTTCAAAAATTAACAAGGCTTCTGTCCACATAAACCAACAAAAGGAAGTTAAAAGTTAAAAATTCAAAATATAAGAGTTGTCGTTTTACAACACTCTGCGAAAGACACAAGCTAATTTGCATACCATCATTTGACCTTTGACCCTTTGCATGCCAAACCATTCACCCTTCACATACTAAATTCACATAAATTTGTCTATGTTTTTCAAAAAGAATTATCAAAACCAGTAACCAATACAGAATTTTATCCATTTGACCCTAAATTAACAACGAAATTACAGAAAAATACATAAAAATTTACAAAATGTTGACCAACATTTTTGAGAAAAAAATTATGACATTCAACAGGTTTATGTAATATGTTTCATAGTATACATGCAGATTTCTGTGAGGATGAGATTTCTGTGAGGATGAGATTTCTGTGAGGATGGGATTTCTGTGAGGATGAGATTTCTGTGAGGATGAGATTTCTGTGAGGATGAGATTTCTCCTGCATCTGTAACTGTATTTGCTCTATTAAAAGCACATGCACTTTCATCAATGTCGTTAGTACACTTATACTGGGGCTTTTTTTTAGTACATTTTTTTTTTCATATCTGCATTTTATTCCCAGATTCAGAAATACTGTATACGGCTTAAAGGGCGACAGTCGTCGTGTTCGATATGGGACTCATAGCGATGTATACAACGCGTGTAAAATACATTGTTTATTTACATGATATTCGAACACGCGCTGCGCGACGGCCACTGGGCTTTGAGTATTTACTGCCACTAACTGCACGAATATTTAAACATGATAAATTATAACCAAGTAAATATTCATATATTCAACAATAGAATTATTATTTTCTTTAGAAATCAGAAACAACTTGGTGAATATCCCTGTAACATCAAACCTGCTAAAATATTACCCAGTGGACATTTCTCCCTCTACAGTAAAACGACTAAAAGAAAGAAGCGAAAATTGTTTTATGCACTGTTGATGGAACCACAATAAAACCAATTTTTGGCTCACACGTGCTTGTAACAACATAATGATGAGCAGATAAAGGAAATAGCAGATAATCCATAACATTGACAAAATATTTCTTCTTCATATTTTACAAATTGAAATGAAACAGGAGCTTACCTGGTCCAAGAAACTGACATCCTCTTGCTCGTACAGCCGCCCATAAATTGGCCGATAACTGTTGGGGGTTCTGGTGCTGCAAGATAAGTTCAGTTACCGTGCGCTCTCCCAGAGAACGAGCAGCACGTACAGCACGGGCTCTGCCTTCGTCTTCAACCAGCTGACAGTTGACAAGGGTGACAAGCTTTCTCTGCATTGGACGACTAAGTACACATTCCTTGGAACCAACATTGACTAAAAAACGAAGATAACATGGTGTAAAGATGGATATGTAGACAACAAATAACTTTTCTCGTTTTTATTTTATGATACATGTTGTTTCCGTGGAAGCAAGGATAGCATCACGTGATCATTTTGTGAAAACAGCTGAAACTAGTTTCATTTGGGTTGGAAAAAATGTGTCATTCAATGACATAGTTTTCATAAATGTGCATTGTTTAGCAAACTAAATATTTCGTACCAGCATCTACAAAGGCAAAATTCTTGTGATAAAACAGCATCCTTTATAACAAAATGTATGGCAGAGGTAAATCGGGAGTGTATAGTGCACACAAGTACACGTAGTCCTGTAATCCTAGATAACAATCACAAATAAAGTCTGGAAAATTTGTATAGTGCCTGTGATGAAACAGACGTTTTTAGCCACTGGGAACAGAAAACTGATATTCTAAGCTACTGTGAATAGGAAACTAACTTTCTGAGCCACTAGAAACACAAAACTGACTTTTTAAGTTGCTGAGGACGTGAAGCTGACTTTTTTAGCCACTGGGAACAGAAAACTGATATTCTAAGCTACTGGAAACAGGAAAAGTATGTTTCTGAGCCACTAGAAACACAAAACTGAATTTTTAAATAGCTGAGAATTTAAAACTGACATTCTGAGCTGCTGAGAATGTGAAGCTGAACTTTTTTAGCCACTGGGAACAGAAAACTGATATTCTTAGCTACTGTGAATAAGAAACCAACTTTCTGAATCACTAGGAACACAAAACTGACTTTTTAAGTTGCTGAGAATTTAATACTGACATTCTAAAGCTGCTGAAGATGTGAGGCTGACTTTTTCAGCCACTGGATACAGAAAACTGACATTCAGGGCCACTGATAAAAATGTAAATATTAAAAAAATATTTCTTTGGTGAGGAAATATTTTTAGAGACAGAGACAGTTACAATACATAATTGTAAACTGCAAGGAATAGAAAAAAGGTTGTGTAACTATGCAAAAAAATTCAAATCAGAAATCCAGTAAAATAGATTAGTATTTGTATGGCTGACCTTTTTTAAATTGAATGCATGGGAACATTTAAAAAATCCCAGTGAATAAGCCCAAAATATCAAAATGATAAAAACTAAATCCAAGTAAAATTAAAATGTTTTTACATATACCTGACACCTCGGGTGGCATGCTTGTCTATGGTGAAGGACAACTTGACTGTCAATATATATAGCCACACAGTTTCCACAAAAAGGTCTGACTAAAAGGTCAGTTAGGGGAAAATTTAGCATGATTGAATGACTAGCATTGGGATGATGCACATCGCAATGTACGCTGATACAAGGAAATTGACTCAGATGCTAAACTGAGACTAGGTAACAATGATATCTTTACAATTGCGCATAGCACGGTTGTCAAATAAAGTCGTTATGGCGCATTTTTTCCAGATAACAGGGAGTCAGAGATTGAACATTTGAGCAATAAATTCAACGTACCACAGATACCTTGCACAAAATAATACCCACAGAATTTGTTTTCGTATTTGTTAAAATACTTTGATCAAGACCCTTAAGAAATTGGAAATTACGTCTCTTACGAAATTACGTCAGAGATTGAACATTTGAGCAATAAATTCAACGTACCAGATACCTTGCACAAAATAATACCCACAGAATTTGTTTTCGTATTTGTTAAAATACTTTGATCAAGACCCTTAAGAAATTGGAAATTACGTCTCTTAGCAATCTGATTAAAATCCGATGTACAGGTAGGTATAGGCTCCATTATTGTTATTTTTATTAATTTTTTTTTTTTTTTTGGATTTACTTGTCTTCTTCAACGTGACTGTTCCCAAAGCAATAATATATATGGCGGTATTTGGAACAGTGGACTTGAAAGGGAACAATATTTGGGAGAAGTTGCATGGCTCTCGGGCCGCCATTTTTGAAATTGTCAAATGACGACTTATAAACACCTAGAAGTATTTCTTGTCCAAACCTCTCCACCTACAGACATTCTTGCCAAAATTGTTGTGCACTTTTTTTCTTATATTCTTTAGTATTTTTGGAAATGAACCAAAATTTTGAAGCCAACAGACAAAATGTGAGTCAATTATTTAGTTTTTACTCAAAAAACTTGGCTATTTTTGTCCCAATCTTTTGACAGAAACGCATACTATAAATGGAACTATTTTGTGAATTTGTGAAATTGATTGAACTTCTTGACCACAACTTAATGTGATATTATAATTAGTGCCAAGTACTGCGTAGTATTCCAAAAAAGATAAGAGTGAAGAGGTATTTATTTGCAAATACATTTTACTCAAAAATAAAACAATATTTAGAAGAAAGTGACAAGATATATCCCTTTGAATACCAGATATTTTTCCGGCCCCAAATTCAATGCAAATATATTCACATTTTGTGAAATTTTCAGTAAATTTCAATACCATTCAAAATCATTTTGTAAATGGTGCCAAAAGTTGACAATGGTTCAGAACACCACATACCTTTGCTGAGTGGCTGCAACAGAAGTGCCATTTCCTCCACGCAACTCTTGCTTTCTTCATACTGTTTTAGATGTTGCGATGATAAACCGCTCGGTAATTCCACAGTCTTTGGGATCTCTACACCAACCAACTGCAACAGAGCATAATTGGCAGGGAGGGAATTTATGTCGGCACTGATGTTGCTCTGATCGAAGGGACACTGCTTGCGATGGAGTTGTGCCAGACATGTACGGCAAACAGTGTGTCCGCACACAAGACTGATAGGCAGGCGGACATTGTCGTCAAAGTCATTGTAACATATCGGGCAGAGTAAAAATTCTGTCCACTGTGGAGCCTGGATCGGCATGGCAGATCCGGATGACAGCCCAAACTGAGCCAGTAATAATGTATATCTTCCTTGAAGAGTCTAAATATACCTGAAATAACAACAAACAAAACTTTAGATGTATGTAGGCTTTTCTTCAGACTTATTTTTTGTAAATAAAAAATGTTAATCACCTACATCAGAGGTTTTTCTGGAAAAAAAATTGCAAGAGGGAGCACTGCAATTCAATGGCACCACCAAGTTGGAGGAGATAGGGTGCTCCCTACCAGGGTGTGGAGTTTTTGATAATTCTAAGTTAATATGGAACATTCTATGGCTTCCTTGAAGACTGTGGCCACATGTGATCCCTGGTCATTCAGAATTTTATGGTTGGCAGAAGATCTACTCCCGAGGATAAGGGGGTGCGCATAGCCATGGCAATAAATAAATGTGAAATCACATTGACCATTATTGCATCTAAACAATCTAAAGTTAAAGTGGGGGA